CTGGATATTGTATTTGGTCCCTGATGTTCTGGTTTTAGGAAATTATAGCCTTGGTGGAATGCAGGCATGATTGTAAGAAATACGTACTTTGGGAAATGATTTGTATAAAATTCCTAATTGAGGTAAGGGCAGCAAAAAGTTTTTATACAACAGTTGAAACTAGCCAGAAGAAACATTTGCATAACATTGCAAGTTTTATAGCTCTTTTCCAAAGAGAGGATTAGAACTGGGAGAGAATTAATTTTAAGCTTTTAAAAAAATTAATAAAAGTGCATTCATTTATACAGAGCAATTATGCCGTTCTAAGGCTTAGACCTATATCCCAGAAATTGGTAACATTTTTATAAATGATGTATAAAATTCATAGCCCATAAAACTTTGTGGGCTCTGCCATCTCCATTCAAAACCAATCACAGAGAGTACACAAGTGAAGGAACTTGGCTGTGTTCATCTATCCTTTATAACCAAGCTTTTTGTTGTCAAGAATGAGTAAGATGTACTAAGTGTCCTAAGGGCCGCCCATAATCCTTTGGGAGAGACTAAAAATAAATAATTTAGCCTGTCCTTTTTTAAAAATGGGATCGGAGGATATTCAGTCACTGGGACCTACTCCAGGCTCTCTCCTCAGGGTAGTGTGTGGTTCTTGGGATTGAACTGGAATAAGGTGCACAAAAGGCCAGTGCCTTACCTCCCGTACTATCTCTCTGGCCCTACTTCTAATACATTCCAATAAATGCTATAATAGAAATAGCTTTACCATAGGAGTTTCACCAAGGGGGAGTGATCTGCCTGGAAATTGGACCAGACATGGAATTGATACTTGAGTTGAATCTCTCTTTTTTTTTTTTAGGTGGGGAGCACATCTGGTGATGCTTAGGGATTACTCCTGGCTGTGCACTCAGAACTCACTCCCGCCAGTGTTCAGGGAACTGAATAGGATGCTGGGGATCAAACCAGGTCGGCTTCATTCAAGGCTAGTGCTTTTCTGTACTATCTCTCGGGCCCCTTGATCTCAAACTCGTAAGAGAGATTGAAGCATTGGGGTAAACACCGTAGTTCCTGATGGGGAATAGTAAAGATGATGGAACTAGGAGTTGTCACTAGCCAATCACAGAGCTAATCTTATTCGCTTAACTAATAAGTAGAAATAAAAGTTTAGTAATTCTGGTATCTTTGCCCAGTTTTTTTTTTTTTTAATTTTTATTAGTGAAACACCATGAGGTACAGTTGTAGACTTACAAATTTTTGTGCTTGGGCTTCAGTTATACAATGATCAAGTACCCATCCCTCCACCAGTACCCATTTTCCACCACCACGGGTCCCAGTATCCCTCCCACCCCCCATCCCACCCTGCCTCTGTGGCAGGGTATTCCCTTTTGTTCTCTCTGTCCTTTTGGGTGTTGTCTTTGCCCAATTTTTAATATTTTTAATTCAAATAAAAGGCTAACTTGCTTATTCATTCCTGTGCTTATTTTAATTTATTTGGGGGGGCGTGCGGACACGAACTCCCCAGTAGTGGCTTTCTGGTGCTCTAGGCCTGAGTGGTGCTCAGCTAAGCAGTCTGGTGGTCCAGTGCTAGAGCTCGGGGATGCTGCTCAGGCCCTCCCATGCTGGGAATTACCTCACTCACCCTAGTGGTGCTTGGGGACCTCCAGGGCTACACCTGGAATATCTGAGAAGCCACGAAGTGCTGGGGACCCGAGTCAGCTGCATGTAAAGCTGTGCCTTAACCTCTCTAAAAATCTCCAGCCCCTCAGTCCCTTTATTTGGGGCGGGGGGGGGGGGTTGTTTTAGTATTTGCCCACACCTGGCAATACTCAGGAGTAACCCCTGGCTCTGTACTCAGGAATTACTCCTAGCAGTGCTTGGGGGACCAAATGGGATGTCCGGGATTGAATCCGGGTTGGCCACAACAAGGCAAGTGCCCTACCCACTGTAGTATCTCTCCACTACTTCAATTCCATTATTAATTATTCTTAATTTTTTGTGAGAGTTTGTTCCCAAAGGTGTTCAGGAAGGTCCAGGGGTTCCTCCTAGTGATTCTACGTGTGTGTGTGTGTGTGTGTGTTTTGAAGGGGGGCATACCCAACAGTGCACAAGACTTATTCCCGGTGGTGTTTATGGACCTGTATGAGGTACCAAGGAGCTAACCAGGTTTGGCAGAACTGCAGTGCTTGGGTGGCCATGTGGTGCTGGGCATTGAACCAGGTTCACCAAGTGCAAGGCACATATGTGCCTTAACTCCTGTACTATTCTGTTTTCTTCCATCCCCCCACCCCCCATTTATTTTTGTTGTTGTTTGGGGCCACACCTGGGTGCTGAGGGGGGTTACTTCTGGCTTTGTACTTGGGAATACTCCTGGCAGTACTCAGGGGACTACTTTGTTGGATGCTGGGGATTGAACCTGGGTTGTCTGCTGCAAGGCAAATGCCCTTTCTGCTGTACTGTCACTCAGGTTCTCATTTCTTTCTTTTTTTTTTTCTTTGTGGGTCACACCTGGCATTGCACAGGCTCATGCACTCAGGAATTACTCCTGGTGGTGATTGACGAACTATGTGGGATGCTGGGAATTAAACCCGGGTCGGCCGAGTGCAAGGCAAACGCCCCAACCGCTGTGCTACCACTGCAGCCCCTCATTTCTTTTTTTTAGGAAAAAAAATTAAAAATGGTCCCTAAAAAGTATTTGTTCTTAAGAAATAGAAACTATTTTATGTCCTTGTATCATTAAGAATTTAGGAAACACTAAAAGGTATGGGTATAAAATTAAAAGTTTTTATAATTCATTACCAGGAAATCGCCACAGTCACCATTTCTCCGTTTTTTTTTTTCTTCCAGCTTTCTTTACTGTTTCATTTTAAAGTTGGGCTCATAGTGTATAAATAATTTTGTGCTTTTTAAACTTAACATTTTATTTGGGAACGCTGCCCTGTGTTATTCCTTAGAAGTGTCATTTATTTTGAGTGCTCCTATAGCATTCTAAAGATTTCTTAAAGTTTATGTCACTGTTCTCTTGTTTGTGGATCCTTTAAGTTGGTTCCAATTGCTAGTTGACCTGGGTTTTGGCTCATATGTTTGGCAAGTCCATCATCATATTTTAAAGTAAATACATAGACTTATTTATTTTTAATTATAAAAGATTGCCAGCTTCCTTGATCTTCTGGCCTTCTCTCATTCTCTTCTGCTCTTGTTAGCATTTTGTGTTTTCTTTTTTGGTTTCCCACGACAGTGCAGTGGAGCCGTGGATTCTGAGTCTGGGTTGCCTGGCTTGGACTCGACTTTATTGAGTATCATATGTAGTCTTGAGACAGCATCTGGGAGAGTGTCGCAGTTTTCTCATCTGTGAAATAGGGCTAGTTTTATCTGTGTCTTGGGGTTGTGGGCTGATGCTTAGGAAGCACCAATAGTTTGTGTCATGTGGTTACAGACTCTGTGCGAGGGATCAAACTCCGGGCCTCACACTAGGGAGGCATGTGCTCAGCTCTGCGCCTGATTATTTTACTTAGCATGATTGCTTATGCCTGCTCTAATCTCTTTTCTGTTCCATCTAATTAATGAATATTTGAGCAACAGACTGACTTTACTGGTTTAGTGACTTTCAGGTCTCCTCTTCCCCACCCAGTAGCAAGTCTTCCTGTTTTAAAGATAAAACTAGCAGTTATGTAACCTTGTAGAAAGGTATACAGGGCACGAAGGGCATGCTTTAATTGCATCCCTTTTCCAAATGAATAGTACCTTCTTCAAGATATTAGAACAAGATATTAGAAGGCCCGCTGTGATGTGCCCAGTAACTTTTCATTAAGTTCTCATCACCTTGTTCCCAGACCCTGTTCCCCAGCACCCTTAAAGTGGAACTGGGTATGTAGTAGTGATGAGGTTCACTTTTGGGGGCTGGGGGTCTGATATACACCCAGCAGTACTCAGGGCTTACTTTGTTGGTACTGATACACAGAGATCACTTCTGGCAGTACTTGGGGGGCCCTTATGGGGTGCTGGGGATTGAACCCTAGTTGATCGTGTGCAAGGTACGTGTATCTCTCTGTCCTGTGAGGTTTGTTTAAAAAATTTATTCATTTGGTTTTTGAGCCATGCCTGGTAGGGCTCAAAACTTAACTCCTGGGTAAGTGCTCAGGGATCACTCCTGGTGGGGTTTGGGGGACTGTATGTGGTGCTGTGGATTGAATCTGGGTCAGTTGCGTGTAGCAGCAAGTCATACACACTGTACTATTGTTCCAATCCTAAAATTTACTTTAAAATTTCCCATTTTCTTTGGTTGTTGGCATTGGCGGGGTTCATACGGCTGGTGATAGTGCTGTCTAGGGCTCACACACTTAGTTGTGGGGCTTGTACATTTGGTTGTACTGACACTTCATCGCGGGCACCAGGCATTTCAAAAAGCATTGCCACCCAGGGTTTACTCCCAAGCATATAAGGGTAGTACCAGGGACTGAACTCAAGCTTTGTGTCTGCAAGGCAGGGACACTGAGCTATCCCTGGGCCCGGATTCACTGTAAAAATCTGTGCTCTAGATTGCTGATCCTCAACGATTGGGTTGAACCATGGTGCTCAAACTTCCTTCTGGGGAGTGGCACAGTTCCAGAGACAAGATTGCCACTCAACTCTTCCTGTGGCAGGAGAAGCTGTTAAGCGTTTTCATTGGGGGGCTAGAGAAATAGTACAGCAGATAAGGTGCTTGCCTTGCCTACCTGGGTTCGATCCCTGGTACCCCATATGGTCACCTGAGCATTGCCAGGAGTGATGCCTGGGCGCCGCCAGGTTTGGTCCAAAAACAAAAAAGGTTTTCACTGGGAAAGCTTGATCAAGGTTTACCAACTTTTGGGTATTTGTGTCTTAAGATTTCCACTACCTGTTCTATCCCCTCTTGATTCTTGGGATTCACTTCAGTAATAAAATATTCCATTGTCTCTCTTTTTCTTCGTAGGGTAGTCTCTGAGGCTAGCCAGATAGATACAACCTTCGGCAATTAATTGGATCTGGCACAAGAGAGAAGTCCAGGGATGATATATTTGGCGGCTCGATTTCTCCACTGTGGAAGTCATCCAGTTCCTTTCAGAAACACAGACTCCTTGCTTCCGTGACTCACCCTAAGTGAAGGTCTGATGGACAGGCACTTTCCGTCAACATTGCGGCTATTTTCTTTCATGCGGAAATTGGAAGACAAGGTGAAAGGGGCCACACGTTACCTGCTTTGGTGACTAGCGCTGTGCCACTCCGTTCTCGGAACATGGGCCCTCGTTTAAAGGTAAGAACATCATCTGGTCCAGATGGACCAGTAGGCCAGAAAGAGCTCCGCACATGTTCTGCAGCCTGGGGGTCCATCCCTGTCATGTCATGGCAGCACCTCCCAAGCACAGACCTGGGAACAGCCTCCAGATATGCCGTGTGTGACCCCAAAACAAAGAAGAAGCAAATCCCCAAAAGTAGAATGTGGACTCAGTGATTAGTTTCTGTGCCTTTTCAGTTACAGATAGCTGTTAAAGTGCACCGGTGCATTGAATTGACTTTGACTCCCAACAGGATAATTTTTAGTAGAAAGAAATTAGTTCTTTATTTCTGGGAAATGACTGTTAACAATTTAGCGCCAATGTTAGAACTAAATTTATTTGGTATTGTAGTTATAAAAAATTTTTTTTGCCTCCCCAGTGGTGATTATTGGGTGTTCGCTCCCTCCCTCCCTCCTTCCTTCCTTCCTTCCTTCCTTCCTTCCTTCCTTCCTTCCTTCCTTTTTTCCCTCCCTCCCTCCCTTCTTCCCTCCTTCCTTCCCTTCTTCCCTCCTTCCCTCCCTTCTTCCCTCTCCTCCCTCCATAATCCACAGTGCTCAGGGCTTACTCCTGGCTCTGCAATCAGGGGTCGCTCCTGTGCTCAGGTTACTAAATGAAGTGCCAAGGATTGACCCCAGCTTGACTGTGTGCAAGGTGAAGGCCCTGCCCTTTGCATTTATCTCCAGCCCCTTAGTCTTGATGGTAGTTAAATTGGCAGCGTAGCCTGAGAGCCCAGTTCTCAGCCAGCATTGCTGGGTGCCACCAAGGCCACCTCTGGTGCTGCTGTGCAGGGCTAGGGCTCGAGTATGCAGTGCTAGGGATCAAACTTGGAAAACTGTATGCGGGAGGCATGTACTCTGGGCCCTAAAATTGTATTTTTTATTCTTAAAAAATAAAAGAGCAGAGATTTTGTTTAGTTTTGTTTTGTTTGGGCAGTGCTCAGGGCTCACTCCTGGCTCTGTGCTCAGGCATCATTCCTGGCAGGGCTCAGAGATTAAATCTGGGTCAGCCACTTGCCAGGCAAGTGCATACCCACTGTACTATCTCTCCGGCCTGCAAGTGATATTTATATATTAGATAATTGGCCCTGCATTCCTTTTTACTTTGTCATGCTTTATTTTAGTTTCAAAAAATTAAAAAAGGAACCATAAATCTTTATCTTTCTAATTTTAGCTTCATGGTGAGATTCTTCAGAGTAAGATTGGGGAATATTTTTCTTTTATCTTTCTTTCTTCTTTTGGGGGGCCATGCCCCTGGTGCACAGGTCGTGCTCCTGGCTCTATACTCAGGGATCACTCCCGGCATGGCTCAGAGCATATGGGTGTGAGGGATCCAGAGCCTGTGGTCTGTGTGCAAAGCAGGTGCCCTACCCACTTGCTTATCCCTCCAGCCTTTTTTGACCTCTCACACTCTTTTTTTTTTTTTTTGAAACAGATAGATTTTATTTGGAGGATTTTTCGAGAGGGAGGGGCAGAGAGAGAGAGAGAGAGAGAGAGAGACAAAAGCATGAAAGTACACATCTCAGGAGGGGAGATGCGGGCGACACGTGCGCTCGGGCACCACATATGCTCAGCTACATGGGCGTAAGCACACATGGGCTCAGGCAGCATATGCGCGCCCTTCCTTTGTTCAAGGTGGCCTTTATAGGGTTTCTCCAGCCTGCTCCCACGTGACGCTTCTTCCCAGGTAAAAGTCTGTTGCTAAGGAGGTTACCAGGGAGGTCCAAAAAAAGGAATTTCATGGGTTGACCTCTCACACTCTTTACCTCTCCAATATAGTTGGTCCTTGAGCAGCACAGGTTTGAGCTGCATGGCTCAATTGTACCTGGGTTTTTTCTATCCTTGGTGCCACTTTTGTATATTCCACCAACTTTGAATGAATATTCACTGGTTAATCCCAGATTTTGAAACCTATATAGATAGGGGGTCAGTGCTAAGTTATGCAATTTTCACTGTGCCCTTAACTCCCGCATTATTCCTACAACTCCATCAAAGTTTTCATGATTCAGTGTTTCTATAAAATTAATAACGTTGAACTTCAAAGTTAGGCATGAGCTGAAGACACAGCCCTGTCTCTTAAACAGGTGGGAGATGTCCAACAGTTTCACTTTTCTAAACCCAACTTTTTTTTTCAATCTATAAAATGAGAATAATAGTGTTTATTTCACCAGCTTGTTAAATGGGGATAGTTATTAAAGGAGGTTAGCACTCAAAGCCAGTTGTGCAATGGTTTGGCCAATGGCAAGGGAACTCAGTAAGGAATGGTAAGTCACTACTGATTTCTGCTAGGTTAGAGTATTGCAGTTGAATCGTATTAGTTGAATCATATTAGGTCTGGGACACTAAAAGAGATATACTTAGAAAGAAGCAAAATACATAATCGAATTGTGTGAAATAGTGTGGTGGGTGGGGACTTAGCACCCTGCCTCTTTGTGCTTGATTTAGACTTGGTAAGAAATCCAGAATCACTTTATGAAGAAGTGTGAGTAGTAGGAGAGTGCTATAGAAGCTGTTGAAGAAAAATAAGGCTTAAGGAAGATTAAACCATAAAACTGGATACCATGTCATGATTGAGAACTTATGACCTTAGTGGTGGTTAGTTGAATGCATATTTGTAGAACTGAAATTCAATGGTAACTTTTTTTTTTTATGACTCTTTGGTGGGTTTATTGGTTTTTATTGTTCCATTATTTATTTATTTATTTTTAATTTTTTTTAGTGAAACACCATGAGGTACAGTTGTAGACTTACAAATTTTTGTGCTTGGGTTTCAGTTATACAGTGATCAAATACCCATCCCTCCACCAGTGCCCGTTTTCCACCACCACGGGTCCCAGTATCCCTCCCACCCCCCATCCCCCCCATCCACCCTGCCTCTGTGGCAGGGCATTCCCTTTTGTTCTCTCTCTCTCCTTTCAATGGTAACTTTTAATTTGAAGAACTTAAATAACTTCGGCTCAAGTGAATATAAAGAATAGAGAGAATAGAGAGCTCCAGAAAAATTATTTCTAAAAGGAAGATCCTATGTAATATTCCTTATCCTTAGGCTTCTAGCCAAAAAAAAAAAAAAAAAAAAAGAACAGATTTGACTCCATTCAGCATTTTATTACTATTTAATTACTTCTAATACAGTTAAAATTTACATGCTATATACAGTTATGTTGAGTACTGTAGAGAATTTTGTTGTTTGTTTTTGGGCCGCAGCCAGTGATGCTTAGGGCTTACTCCTGGCTATGTACTCAGGACTTACTCCTGACAGTGCTCAGGGGACCATATTGGGTGCTGGAGATGGAACTTGATTTGGCCACATGCAAAGCTAGTACCTTCTCTGCTGTATTCTCTCCTCAGCCCCTGTAGAGAACTTTTTTTTCTTTTTGGGTTACACCCGGCGATGTAACAGTACAAAGGGGTTACTCCTGGCTCTGCGCTCAGGAATCACCCCTGGCCATGCTCAAGGGACTATATGGGATGTTGGGAATCGACCCGTGTGCAAGGCAAGTGCCCTACCTGCTGTGCTATTGCTCCAGCCCCTAGAGAACTTTTCTTAAACTAGTTACTATCCTGAAATGGCCTCCTGCATGCAGAACATATCCTCAACCCATTGAGTTTTCTCTCCAGCTCCAGTTTTAGTCTTGATGGCCATGGGAGGTTGTATTGAAGGCTTCTCTCTCCAAAGGCAATGGTGCCGTGATTGAATTGATTAAATGATTAAATTGCAATGCTTTAACAGTCATGAGGATTCCAAAACATAGAAAGGTCACAGTTACACCTCCAAGCTTCTCACTTTCTCCTCCTCTGCCACCTCTTACAGAAAAGGCAGTCGCCAAGGTCAGTACAGGAATTCCCCTAGGTCTCATGCCTGTGTCATCGGTTTGGTAATGCTCTTACTCCTTCAAAGAGCAAGAGCTGGGGCAGAGTGATAGTACTGCGGGTAGAGTGTTTGCCTTGCATGTGGTCAGTCTAAGTTCGATCCCTGACATCCCATATGGTCTGATCCAGCAAGGGCATCACCAGGAGTAATTCCTGAGTGCACAGCCAGGAGTAAGCCCTGAGCATTGGCAGGTGTGACCCAAAAAGCAAAACAAACAAAACAAACAGAAAACAAAGAGCAAGAGTTCTGAGACCATCCTGTGACATCAGCCACATAGACTTTATCTTTTGCTGAGTTCTACAACTTTGCTAAGGACCAAATTGGCTGGTATTCTGCTTAGTCAAACTACTGAATTTGGTTCCATCAAGTCCTCTAGCACACCTTGAAAGGTGCAGATAGATATTTTCCAAGATGTTAGAGCTTTTCTGCTACGTGTCCCAAGAAGATGGAATACTTGTTTAGGAAGGAGGTTCAGTAGTTGTGATCCCAAATTGGGGTCTGTTTTGTTTTTACAACATGAACCCCTTTGGGGGCAGCTTCATTGACATGTATTAGAGTGTCATTGTTCCCTCTTTTTTGGTAGGACTTTAGGCTTTAAATAGAAATATCTTTGAAACTTGGCATGGCCACTTTTTATAGGAATATCTTTGAAACTTAGCATGGCCACTTTTTTTTTTTGATATAGCCACTTTCATACGGTCAGTTTACCTACTCTGGATTCCATTTGGCATTTGTCTTAATTGAACTTAGGACTATGTTCTGTCTCAGTTTTTTCTAGTATAGTTAGACATAAACTGACATCTTGGGGTTTTTTTGTTTTTGTTTTTAGCTTTCTCACAAATGTGAGCTTAGAAAGTTTCTGCTGTTTTGTCTCTAAGTAATATTCTAGTGCTGGTAAAAAGCATTAAGATGGTAAAAATCTTATGAGTTAAAAGAAAGAATGAGGGGGCTGGAGCGATAGTACGGCGGGTAGGGTGTTTGCCTTGCACGCAGCCGACCCGGGTTCGATTCCCAGCATCCCATATGGTCCTCTGAGCACCACCAGGAGTAATTCCTGAGTGTATGAGCCAGGAGTAACCCCTGAGCGTCACTGGGTGTGACCCAAAAAGCAAAAAAAAAAAAAAGAAAGAAAGAAAGAAAGAATGAATGTAGTGCATTAGAGAATGGAGAATGTACTTAGCTTGTTCTAAGGTCAAACCCAATAATAAGGGCCAGAAAGATTGCTCAACAAGCTGGAGCACATGCATTGTACACAGGAGACCTAAGCTTGGTACATAGTGCCGTGTGGCTCTCTGATCACCAGCAGGTGTGACCCCAAAGCACTAAGCTAGGTATAGCTCCTGTCTACTGCTGGGTGTGACCCCAAAACAAAACAAAAAAGAATAAATAAAAAGTACATATTCAGGAGCGGTGCCATAACACAGCGGGTAGGGCATTAGTCTTGTGTGTGGCCAGCCCAGGTTCGATTCCCAGCATCCCATATTGTCATCGTTCCCACCCCCCACCCCCTCCCCCACCCCTGAGCATCGCCAGGAGTAATTCCTGAGTGCATGAGCCAGGAGTAACCCCTGTACATCGCCAGGTGTGACGCAAAAAGCACTGTACCACTGTCCTCCCATTGTTCATTGATTTGCTCGAGCGGGCCCAGTAACGTCTCCAGTGTGATACTTGTTGTTACTGTGTTTGGCATATCGAATATGTCACGGATAGCTTGCCAGGCTTTGCTGTGCGGGCAAGATACTCTCGATAGCTTGCCTGGCTCTCCAAGAGGGACAGAGGAATAGAACCTGGGCCGACTGGGTCAGCCGTGTGCAAGGCAAACACCCTACCCACTGTGCTATTGCTTCTCCCCCAAAAAGCAAAAAAAAAGTACAAATTCAGTATGTAAAGCATCAGTATATATGCATTGCAATTTTCCTTGGGTGTTTCAGATGAGTGATGAATATTATTAGTCTTATTCTAGAAACAAATTTAGTAACATTGCAAGTTTCTCCTCAAATTCTGGCTTCTGTTTGAACTGTTCTGACCTAGAACATCATTCAGGATGCAAAGTACATTCTGTTCCTTTTTTTCCTCTCGTTGGCCTTTTTGCTGAACTCATCTTCCGCTAGGCCCGTTCATTTGCCTGATCAGTAATAGCATAAGCGGCTTCTCTGACATACCCACTACTCATTATTTGGGACAACCCAGGGTTTATTTTAATTATATAATACCAGTGTGGTGATGATGATAATACTTGCTTTAAAAATCTACATTTTACAGAGCTCTTCTTGATGAATTACTTCCAGAAGGGGAGAGTGATTCCATTATCTTCTTTGCTTGTGTTAATTAGCACGCCTTTGCTTGGGGGAAGCAAACTGTCTTGGAGGTCCTGGCTCCAAAGAGATGGAAGCTGTGTTGTTGCTTATTGTAATTAGCAGTAAAGCAAGTGGCTGCCTGTGGTATTCTGGGGGGGTTGGTAGGTTAGAAGGCTTTATGGGGTGGGAAGCCATTTGTTTCACTGTTGGGGCACCTGTCAGGCTAAAGAGAAGACGGGGAAGTCAGGCTTAAGGTGTGGCTCAAAGGATGTGCTCTATTTTGTCTCTGAGAGGTCTGTACAGAAGAACTGGAGAGGAAAACCAAGCAGGTTTGGAGCTGGAGTGATAGTACCATGGGTAGGGTGCTTGCCTTGCATGTAGCTGACCTAGGTTTCATCTGCAGTACCCCATTTGGCCGTTCCCCTCAGCCTACCAGGAGTGATCCCTGAGCCAGTAATAAGCATAAGCTCTGAGTACTGCGGGGAGTGGGCCCAAACCCACAACAAATGAATAAAACAAAACTAAGCAGGTTTTCTTTTGCAGCTGCAGCTGTGATCCTCGGCTGTCTGTGGGCTTCGAAGGGACCTGATGTTTTACGTTATTGGTATGTTATGGCGAGAACTCACTTTGTTATCTTTTTGTTGCCTCTGTGTCTATTCCCTTTCCCCCAGAAAGTAGAAGTAAAAATATTTCCACTCGTGCCAGAACGTACCTTCACAGAATTGGCAGCGAAACTCATTCAGTTTGGGAAATATTTATTGCGTTATTTATAGTCGGTGTCAGACACGATTTCCTGCCTAGTCAAAGTCAAATAGGGCAAAAATCTGCCTTTAAGGAGTTTGTAACATGAAGGGTAGCTGGCCGGGGGGGAGGGTGTGTGAAATATTTTAATCGGTAAGTAGGAGTTTAAGGGCATCCTGAAAGGGGCCCCTCAAATCTCTCTGCATGGACAAGGGAGAAGGTTTCCTACTAGAGGAAACGGAACCCACAGTTCTTTCTTTGAGACTTCAGCATAGGCTGTTGTTATCTGTCCCATGGTATAGAGCAGGCATGGTCATACTTTCTTTGAGGGGCCAAAGAACCATTTTTTTTGGCTCCGTCTCTATGGCAGCTGTTGAACTCTGTCAGGTCAGGACAAAGTGGCCCTCAGTGATAGTGAGTGAGTGGGTGAGACCTTGATCCTATGGAACTTCCTAGAAAAGGGCCCGACTGGGGTTTGGGCCCAGATGGTCCATTCCGATCCGTATTACAGTAGTTCCTCTCTCCACCCTCCAAGGGGTCGGCCCCGACTGTGAGATGTAAACTGGCGGGTGGTGTGTTCTCTCTTTCACCCAGGCGGAATCACAGTGTCTGTGGTTGCATTCTTCTTCACAATTAAGTTCCTCTTTGAGCTCGCCGCCCGCGTAGTCAGCTTCCTCCAGAATGAGGACCGTGAGCGGCGAGGGGACCGGACTATCTATGACTACGTGCGGGGAAATTACCTGGATCCCCGGTCATGCAAAGTCTCCTGGGATTGGAAGGACCCCTATGAGGTGGGCCACAGCATGGCCTTCCGAGTGCATGTAAGGGAACGTTTCTGTCTCCGTACCCGTTGGGGTTTCTCGGTCACTTGCTTTCCAGAGCCCGCTCAGTTGCTGGCCTAGAGTGTTAATATTTTCCCTTGATTTTCATCCTGCCTAGGAACGTGGGAATTGTTCACGCTTGAGGTCACACATTGATCATTTTGGTTTAATACGTACTTCTTTTTGAAGATGTATAAAGTTTAGTGTTACCTTTTCAAAATGAAAATATTACTAGAAAGAGTCGGCGTTATAGATTGGAGACTTACAAACCAGTCTGAGGCCCAAGTCGGGCTGCTCCCTGCCTGGCCAGGACACAGCCACACCCTTTGCATCTTCCCATGTTGACTGTGCTTTGTGCCCAAAGAAGTCAGCCACAGTTGAGTGGCTGCACAGGGGCCCCAGAGCCAACAGACGTGGCCTCTTGGGCCCTTTACGGAACACGTGCTTCCCCTGAGGTGACTTCTCCACTGCCGTACTCCACTTCACTTCTTCTTCAGAACCCCATGGGGTCAGCCAGTGGTACCCCTTGACTTCTCACACCTGTTCTGGCAGTATAACATAATTTAAAAAGGGCTGGTAAAGACAGGGGAGGCCTCATTTGTAGTTCAGAAATGTCAGGTCGAAGTGGATTTAGTGGCACTTTATCCCTGTCCTGAACAGGTTAAATAACAGTTTCTTTGACACCTTGAAGAATTTGTTTCTCTCTGGGATATTGTGAACCGCACTGCGGGAGTGGGCTGTACCGGTTACCGCCTCTCTCCTGGAACTTGCTGGCGTTGGATGGGGCAGATGTTCTCCTGCTGTTTACTTGTATGTGTCTTTTTGTCTCCTGCTGCAGTTATTCTACAAGAACGGGCAGCCTTTCCCCGCACATCGGCCCGTGGGACTGAGGGTTCACATCTCTCATGTGGAACTGGCAGTGGAAATCCCGGTGACCCAGGAAGTCCTCCAGGAAGCCAGTTCCAACGTGGTCAAGGTGGCCTTCACTGTGCGTAGGGCCGGGCGCTATGAGATCTCTGTGAAGCTCGGCGGTTTAAATGTGGCCTATAGTCCCTACTATAAGATTTTCCAGCCTGGTAGGTTCCTTTTTTTTCCCTTCTCCTTTCCTGTCCATCACTTCCTGCCTTGGTCTTTTTCTTTAACAGCTCACTGAAATTTAATTTACATGTCATAGAATTCATCCATTTAAAATACACAATTCAGGGACTGGAGTGATAGCACAGCGGGTAGGGCGTTTGCCTTGCACGCAGCCGACCCGGGTTCGATTCCCAGCATCCCATATGGTCCCCTAAGCCCAGCCAGGAGTAATTTCTGAGTGCAGAGCCAGGGGTAAGCTGCTCAATCAAAAAAATAAGTGAACTTTTGTGGCTGACATTTCTTTTAGTGTAATGATTTTATTTTATAGATACGTACATACACGTATATATGTGTGATGTGTGTGTGTATTGTGTGTGGGTTTGTGGGTATGGGTATGGGTGTGGTGCTAGGAATAATATAATGCCTTTAAGATTCATCAGTAATTCAGGTTGGCCTCCCTCCTTTCTTTCGTCCTTCCCTTCCCCTCCTCTCCTCTCCACTCCTCTCCTTCCATGCTGTTTAATACCCTCCCTCCCTCCCTCCCTTCTATCCTTCCATCCTTCCTTCTTTATTGGGATAGGTTCCTGGTGATGATGGTGGACATCCCTGGTGATGCTGGGGGGCATTCTGTCTCAGTTCTGGGTTTTTTCCCCCTGTACTCAGGGAAAGTTGGTGCTGAGAATGAATCTAGACCCTGTCTGTACAGCATGTGCTCCAGCCCTTTGAGTGTCTCCCCAACATTTTTTTCCTCTGCCAGCTGATAGGCTGCTGCCAGGGATGCTGCTATGAGTTTTGGCGCATGGGCCTTTGTGTGGCCAGTTGTCTTTTGCTTCTCTAGTGGGTAGCTCATTTAGTTCTTAGAAATAGGCGTGCCAGAATAGACCAGATAAATTCTCATTTTTGAAACCTTTTCCAGTAAAAGTACCTTGACCCTAATTCCAGCACTTCTGCCAAAGTGTTTTACTTCTCCCTGAAGAGTGTCTGCCCAGGCCTTTGGTATCCAAGAATCGCGGCCTTTATCTCTACCCTCCCACCCCCACTCCCTGACAGATGCTCACTAACTTTGAAGCCTAAAAATAGAATCTCTGACTCCTGCTCAGTTTCTGCTAAGCATGTTGAGCTCCTGTGTCCTAGTGCCCTGCCTCTGCTCGCTTCTCAGGGTGGCATTGGACACACTCGCCGGAGGACCTTGGCAGGTTTGCGAGTCCAGCCGTCATAAGAGGGGCCTTAAGATTGATTCCTTTTGCTCTCCTGGGTTCAGTTTTCATTCTCTTCGAGCAGGCTGACTTGAGACGGTGCCCCCCAAGGCCTCTCCCTCCCCGTTTCTCCTTTGCTTCAGTGCCTCGCCCACAGGCTCCGTTCTGCATGAATTATCACCACCCTACCTCCCTGCCACCAGTGGAGAACAGTTCAGATCCTTCTAATAAATTTGAGTTCCTTTCTTCTTAAACTAAAATAAGGCATGTATTGGAGATAATAGTCAAATCCCATGCAGTTTTAAGAAACAGTGCAAAATGCTCAGTACCCTTGACCCAGTTTCTTCCAAGGGCAGTATCTTAACAATACTGTAGCATACTACCTTCTGTATAGTCAAGGTTGGGGGGTTGACTGCGGGGCCTGCAGAGCCACGAATATGGGAGCGGGGCTCCTATCTGCAGAGCATGCGCTTCAGCCTGTTGAACTCTTCCCTGTCCCCCACATTTCTCATTTCGTTTGTATGGGAAGCAGCTTACTGTCAGTTATGACATTTAATAATAATTGTTCAAGTGTTTTGACACCTGCCCTCACCGTGCCTTCATACTTAGTGTTTTTAAATGACAGGAAAACACCAGTAACAGGTTTAATGGATTTATTGAGTTTATCCCTTCAGTTCCTATTTGTAGCAACCTGTATATCCTTGGAAATGCCAGACAGCAGCAGTGGCCAACAGTAAGTTCAGACCTACGGAATTTAATAATAATTAGATGCTAAAAGCGTTCTGTTGCAGTAACCCTTGTTAAATTTGATACCTCCCTATAGTTGGGGAACTTTAAAATATACCAGGTTTTTTTTGTCTTTTGTTTTTTAAGCCATGTTCTCCTTCAAGAAAGGAGAACAAAAATCACTCAAGATGAACAGATCTGTCAGTGGGGTCTTTTTGTCCTATTCCTTCTTTTATGACTATTTTTTTTGCAGTGGACCAAGAGGGACCAGCGTGTGAAGTGAGTACAAGAAATACGACAGGGATGGCTGTAACGGGAGCCCTCAGGAGCAACAGAGATGCCCCTTCACTTCCCACATCTAGCATATGTGATTCTTTAGAAAAGCAAAAAATAAAATAAAATAACAAGCCCATGAAACACAACAGCTAGATTTATAATACTCGAGGGTGATGGAAGGCAGCTGGCTTGGGGGAAAAGCAGAGTAGTCAACTGATGTCCACACTTGGGAAACTGGCTGCTGGGGCGGGAGTGACCGAAAGTGAAGTGCTTGTAGGGTAAGGTGCTTGCTTTGCACGCGGCCAACCCAGGTTCAATCCCTACCTTCCCATATGGTTCCCCAGTCCTTGCCAGGAATAATTCCTGAGCACAGAGCCAGGAGTAAACCTTGAGCACCGCCGGGTCTGGCCCAAACCACCACTGCCTCAAGAAAATAAAGCTGGTCCTTTTAGACTTCCTGGTGTTAAAAATCCACATACTGGCACCAGGGAGATTCTTTTGTACTTGAGTCAGAGACAGAATTTCCAGTTCCAGAGAGAAGGGATTATGCAGAGGGCCCTTGGCTGCATGGGTTCTGCCTTGCCAGGACCTTCTTATCCTGGTTCCCCTTGGAGAGCAGATGACTCAGTGGCCTGTAGCAGGCTGCACTTTGGCAGGAGATGGCCGTGGTAAAGGACTTTCTCTGCTCACGTTCAAGCTGCTCAGGGCAGACCACTGGTCTCGAGGAAGAGTCTGCTGCTCTAGCAAGTCACCCAGGAGAAGAGGCACACCTGGAAAGAGTATGCTTTGTGCTCCGTTGGTACTAACCCCTAGGCTCGAGAGTAGAAGGCTGCTCACGGTATGTGAGGACTGCATTGTTAGGAGGAAGCTGAGGGCAAAGCCAAGCCAAGGTAGTAAGGCCAGTTCCTGGTGCTGGAGCACCACAGCCGCGCTTCAGTTCCTCTGCTGCACCAGTGCTACGAAAGCAGCGCCGTGAGTAGAGAAGGGACAGATGCAGGAGACTCTCCTGCTGCCTTCTGCGATGGACAGGAAAGGCTCACGGTGCTCTGGATGAGGACCAGGGCCTGCTGCAAAAGGCAGGCAGTTATTTTGCTGCCACTAGGGAGAGAGTGAGGCTTCCTCCCTGATACCTCAGTTGCTTATCAGCAATGTCTTGGAACCACTTGGCATTTCCAGCTTTGCTCAGCATGGTTGGAGGAGCATCGAGGAACTGAGGAGCACTGAAAATTGATTTGAGGAAGAACTGTGGCCACCACTAAACATCTCCCAGTAGTGACAGATCACCCGTAGTTTAGGCCGTTATTGGCTGGGCCCGGGGATGAGCAATTGCATAAAACAAGAGTAGACCGAACCAGAGTACTCCACCATCCCACGCCGAGCGTGTCTCTCTCTAGATTTGAGATGGTACATTTTCCCTAGCTCTAGTCTTTGACTCTCCTGGCTAAATCCCATTGAAAGTTTTGTTCCAAACTGCATGAAGGACCTGGCGCCACCACCTTTGCGCCAACTGTGGCTCCAACTTTCACTGACTCTGCCCCCACTCCTAGTCAGTTCAGCTCCCAAAGCTCCTCTGGGCCCCCCCCCCCCCCATGCCCTGTGCCTCCACACAACCTGCTCCCACCTAGGGCACCTGCACCCTTTCTCCTTTTCCCATAATCGTGTTCAAGAATGGAATCATATAGTATACCACTTTTTGGCTGCATGTCTGTTTTTTCCCCCATCAGCATAAATCTTGAGTCATTTGGTCCAGATTAGCTTTCTTCCCTCCCTTCCTTTTTGTGTTGTTGCAGTGACTGAGGATCTCACACACACACTTGACTGTGTTGCTCATATGCTTAGTGCTGGCCAGAGCTGTAGTTTGCCTAAAAAAGGCAGATTTCGGGGGGGGGGGGGTGCTGAGTGGTTTTATTTATCTTTTGGGGGCAGTTGCAGTAGTCCACGTAAGTTCAGTAACTGGTGCTCGGCAAGCATTAAGTGTTGGAAAAGGTCATCTTTCCCTGTTAACCTGCTTTTGTACTTTTGTCAGAGATCAGCTGGGCATATTTGCTGGAGGTCTATTTGTGAGTTCTCAGTTCTTTTCCACTGATTTCTGTATCTGTTCCTGCACCAGTAACACAAGAGCTGTATAAAAAAACCTGGAAATTGAGTAAACTGATTCTTCCCACTTAATTTTTTTTTGAAATTGTCTTATTATGCTAGATCCTTTTTCCTATACATAGAGCGTTTAGAATGATACACAGTTTAGAACTTTTTTTTTTCTTTTTGGGTCACACCCAGGCTCAGGGGTTATTCCTGTACTCAGGAATTATTCCTGGCGGTACTCCGGGGACCATATGGGATGCTGGGAATTGAACCCCAGTCAACCGTGTACAAGGCAAATGCCCTACCCACTGTGCTGTCACTCCAGCCCCAGAATGATACAAAGTTTAGAATTATATTTTCTAAATTTATAAAAGAAATCTTGCTGAGATTTTGATGAATTATATTAAGCCCATCTTCTCTTGAGGAGAATTGACAACTATACTACAGTCTTCCAGTTCATTTGCCTGGCTTACCTCTAAATTTAGACTTAAAAAAATTTTATTTTTAAATTTAAGGGACCAGAGTGTACAACGGGTAGGATGCTTGCCTTACATGCGGCCAATCTGGTTTCAATCCCAGGTACTGCATATGGTCCACTGCGCACAGAGCCAAGAGTAAACCTTGAGTAATGCCATGTGTGGCCCCAAACAAAATTTGTATCGATATTTTGTAGTATTTAACATACTAGTTCTAATATCTTAGGACCCAAGCGTTCTATTCTGGATTGTTTGTGTTGTGGGGTGTGTGTATGTGTGTGTGTGTGTGTGTGTGTGTGTGTGTCTGAGCCACACTTTTTGGCCCTCTTGAGCACTTATTTTCAGGTCTGCCACTTTTTGGTAAGCCTGGGGTAGGATTTGGGCCACACCCAGCTGTGTTCAGGGATTACTCCTGGCAGTGCTCAAGCATGCAGGGCTCCGGATTGAACCCAAGTCAGCCATGTGCAAGTCAGCGCCTTCCTTGCTGTACTGTCTCTCTGTCCCGATCTACCTCACTCTTTGGTTCCTTGTGGTACTCTAGGCATTCAAGCTCTGACTCTCAGTTCACTTTTCTCTACATTCTCTATTCCTTTTGCTTTAGTGCTTATAGTGATGAGAAAATCGTAAAAATCAGTCCCCAAAGTTCATTTGACTTATTTGCTTAATTTTCTTTCATTTTCTCTTCAACTTTTTGTTTGGTGTTTGGCCCACATGCAGCGGTGTTCAGGGCTTACTCCTGACTCTGTGCTCAGGGATTATTCCTGGTAGGGCTCAGGGACCATATGGGGTATCCACAATTAAAGTCGAGTCAGCTATGTGCCAGGCAAGCTGTATTATCTCTCCAGTCCCTTTTTTCCTTTGCTACTTAATGGTATTGTTCATCCCTAGAAATTGGGCAGAGACCCAGTGCTATATGATTCATATATATATGAATATGAATATGTTTAGTATATATAATTCATATATATATAAATATGTTTAGTATATATGATTCATATATGAATATGAATATGTTTAGTGTATATATATATATACTAAACCAATCTGTATATCCCGAAAGCATCTCTCAAACATTAGATCCTACTGTCTTTGTTCCAGGCGTGGTGGTTCCTTCCAAAACCAAAATAGTATGCCATTTTTCTACTCTTGTGCTGACCTGTGGGCAGCCACACACCCTTCAAATAGTGCCCCGAGATGAGTACGACAACCCTACCAACAATTCCACGTCTCTGAGAGATGAGCTCAGTTACAGCTTGACCATTCATGAGGTAAGCGCTTTCTCTGTGCTCTTTTCTCTCATGCTCACCCCTCCCAATTCATTTCCACCCTGTCGCCTCTTCTTACATGCATTTAGTGGTACTTTCTTTTCCTCTTACAGCTTGGTCCTCAAGAAGAAGAGAGCGCTGATGTCCCCTTTGAGAAGTCAGTGTCGTCCAACAGGCAGACATGCCAGGTGTTCTTGAGACTCACCCTCCATTCTCGTGGGTGCTTCCATGCCTGCATTTCATACCAAAACCAGCCTATCAATAATGGCGAATTTGACATCATTGTGCTAAGTGGTGAGTTCCGAGGACGTTGTCCTTTAATCCTCTACCCAGACCACTTGTTTTTTTGTGGGTCCACACTCCTCTTCTCTTTTGATTTGGATTTGGTGCTTAAGGTTTGCTCTGGGCTCTATGCTCAGGGATCACTTGGTGGGCTCGCAGGATGATGTGGGGTGTCTGGGATCCAACCTAGGTCGGCTATGTGCAAGGCAAGCACCCTGTCCATTGTACTCTCGCTCCAGCCCATGTCTGCACTCCTCTGACCAGACTCACAAACCTTTGGTATTTGAGCTAAACTCTGCTTAGAAACTCATGAACTGACTAGTGATAGGTTATTTCTTTAATCTCACAACTTCTGCTTTAGATCTTAATTCTTGGAGCCAGGTTGTGGCTCAGTTGATGGAGCATTTGCCTTATGTACATGAGGCCCGGGGTTCAGTCCCTGGCCTCAGCACATGCTCCCCCACACAAGCATGTGTGTGGGCCACCACTACCTAGTGTGGCCACCCCCCAACCACCACCAAAAGGGAAAAAAAAGTACAAAATTTCATGGCTCTCCCACTTTCTCCTTATCACACTTCAGAGAACGAGAAGAATATTGTGGAGCGCAACGTGTCCACCTCGGGAGTGAGCATTTACTTTGAGGCTTACCTTTATAATGCCACCAACTGCGCCAGCGCGCCCTGGCACCTGTCCCCTATGCACATGAGCTCCGCCCAGCGCCGGCCTTCCACGGCCATTGAGGAGGAAGAGGAAGACTCTCCCTCCGAATGTCACACCCCCGAGAAGGTGAAGAAGCCCAAGAAGGTGTACTGCTATGTATCACCAAAGGTAGGCACACCCCTTCCGCCTCCGGATTCCCCACCTGCACTTGTGTGTGGGATTTGGTGGCGTGGTCCCCCTTTTCCACCACATCTCCTTCCTTGGTTCCAGTTACCCACAGTCAGCACTGACACCAAAATACTAAATGTGCTTGGATGTTTAGAGAGGGGGTGACACCACGCTCATGAACTTTTTCTAGGTTGCTATTATAATCACTCCATTTTGTTGTTGTTCATCTTCCTGTGTCTATACGTGAAGCTTTATTGAGGTGTGCCTTCATAGGAATACTGTCTGGGGTTTCAGGCTTCTATGGGGCAGGGGGCATATGTCTCGGGATATACGCCTTACAGAGAAGTGGGGATTCCATGGGAATTGGTGACAAGAACCACCAAAGGAACTGTCTCAGCATGGAGCATGACCAGTGACTTACAGTGTGTCCCTGCCGCTGAGAGAAGGTGGTGGACGTCGAGAAGAGTGTACCTCCCACCCTGTGACCTGGAGCACCTGTGGCCTTCTTTCTTTGATGCTTCTGGGAAGACTTTTTTTTTCCTTTTTAGGTCACACCCAGCAATGCTTAGGGGTTACTCCTGGTTTTGCACTCAGGAATTACTCCTGGCAGTGCTCAGGGGACTCTATGGGGTACCAGGGATCGAACCCAGGTCGGCTGCGTGCAAGGCAAACGCCCTACCCGCTTTGCTATTGCTCCGACCCTGGGAAGACTTTTCAAGGCATGGTTCTTAGCATTTTAAAGAGAATTGCTTTTTTTTTTTTTGCTTTTTGGGTCACACCCAGTGATGCACAGGGGTTACTCCTGGTTCATGCACTCAGGAATTACTCCTGGCGGTGCTCGGGGTGGGGGGGACGATATGGAATGCTGGGAATTGAACCCAGGAAGGGCCGCTTGCAAGGCAAACACCCTATCCACTGTGCTATCACTCCAGCCCCAAGAAAGCCACTTCCAACCAATAAGCGTTTCTCATTAATGTAAAAATTTCTATTTAGCCCCCTGTGCTGTTTGGAAACAATTTGATCTTTCATTCTGCCTTTTGTGAGACCACAATAAATGGATATCACCATCAGGCTCCACGATTGGAGTGGAGAAATTCTGGCAGAGACAGGAGGGTGACTTTCTCAAGGCCCCTGGGCTAAGAGGCGCTTTGTGTTGGGGGTTTTCTTTTTTGTGTCTGTATCTTACTTATTCATTCAGACCTCAGAAGAAAAAAATGGAACTTGTGAAACATCTCATTATGCCTTAATGTCATAACCAAAACTGATTCCTAATTCTGTTCCTCATAAGATCACTTCGATGCCATACTCTCTTCTGTACTATTGCTCTGGCCCTCTTCTAAAAAAATCAAGAAAAACTGACATAATATGTTTGGGTTCTTGCTTTTCGTCTTCTTCTTCCTTCATTGTTGGTGGTGTTGTGATAACAGGGGTATCTCACTCACACATACACACACACACACACACACACACACACACACACATCTGGTGCTCCTTGTTGGTCAGCTCTGCGTGCTCCCGCCCTGGGCCTCCCTGCTTGCCAAGGGCCGCGCCCCTTTCGTTGTGTGCTCTTGAGTTAGCGTGCTTGTGCGCCTTCTGGTTGTGGTCCTCATGTTCGTGTTCACCCTAGGAGAGGGGTTTGTGCACACCCATTGCTCACTCCTAGCAGGCCAGGTTTGTGCTCCATCACTTTGGGTGTGTGGACATGAGTTTTTGTTGTTATTCAAAGATTATTGCATGAGGCCAGAGTGATAGTGAAGCTGAGAGGCCATTTGCCTTGCATGGAGCCAACCTGGGATCCCATAGGATCCCTGAGCCACCAAGAGTGATCCTGAGCACAGATCCAGGAGCACAGAGCCACACCTGAGCACTGCCGAGTGTGGCCTCAAAACAAAACCAAGTTACTTCGTTGCCAGCTTCCTTTAATGAATGGCGTAAAGGGAACCTGGCCTATAGTTTCTGGCCTGTCACGGCTATGGCATGTGAGCACCATAACAGACAGATGTCAGAGCACTGGGGCTGGGAAGGGGCCCTGCTGAGCACCTCACAGTGAGCTGGAGTCCCAGTCGCACTGGTGCAGGCACTCTGTGAAGCAAGTGAGCCCCAGGGAGCCACAGCCAGGTGTTGGTGCGACCTCTGGTAATCATTGCCAGGAAGAGAAAAAATAAATGAATAAATAAAAACATTTCACTGATTATAGAAATCAAAAGCAGAGATCAGAAAGATAGTGCAACAGGTAAGACGTTTGCCTTGCATGCAACTGGCCCGAGTTTGATCCCCAGCTCCCCAAACAATCCCCTGAGCCCACCAAAGGTAAGCCCCGAGCACCACTGTGCATGGACTGAAAAAGAAAAAAGCAGTGGGTAGGGACCCCTCATGTTCACTCCCCTGCCATGGCGTGGGGTCAGTCTCTGGGCAGCACCGGGCTGAGCAAGAGGTTTTTGTTATTTCTCGGTGAAGTGTTCTTGCCTCATTAGGTGCAAACCTTATCTCAGCTATTTAGGAATGATAAAAAAAAGACTTGAGTGTTGAAAGGATGAGACACTGCATTGTCAGCATAATGTATTTTTATTTAAGTTTTTTTTTTTAATTCTAAATATTTTATTTAAGAGAAGGGATAGGAAGGGGGAAAAACAGGAAGCTTCTGAGTTATGCGTAGGCTCTTATTGTTGGAATTTCCTAGAGTAACCGCATTTTAGTTTGCCTGTTTTGAGATGGGGTCGTTATTCACTTGATTTCAGTATTGACTCAATCATTCTCTTGCTTCATAGAGGAAAGAGGTTAGCGTGAGAGTTGTAGATAGGGACTCTGATGTTTGAGATTTGCTGTCCTAGAAGAGCCTTTAATTCCTCATTTACTTCATTTTCTGTTCTTGATTTTTCAGCAATTCTCAGTGAAGGAATTCTACCTGAAAATCATCCCATGGCGCCTGTACACCTTCCGGGTATGCCCAGGAACAAAAGTAAGTGGGACTTAACATCCGTTTAGGCGAGGCTGAGAAGGCCTCGATGATGGAGTGTGTCAGCCTTTTCTTTCTTTCCTACAAGGGCTTTTTGTGTTTCTGCAAGTTCTCATTATGCACATAGGATTCATTGCCAAATAAACTAAGGGTCATCCTCCTCAGGAAGTGGCGTCAGCGTCTAGAAGTTCTAGAAGAACACATGCCTACAGAAGCAGAAATTACTAACAGGGCAGTATTTCAACAGCTATCTTTGTCCTGAAGATTAAGTTAATGAAGAGGCTTTTGGTAACTTTGGCTTGGTTTCCCAGTGTACTAAGCTAAGAACTTTTCTAGAATCAGTGCTCATAGATTAAAACTTTTTGAGACTTTTCTGAGCTTCAGGAATCTAAAGACTATTTCCATTTGCACAACCTCTCCAAGATAGTTATTTGCTCGTGTGTGTGTGTGTGTGTGTGTGTGTGTGTGTGTGTAGTGCTGTAGCACTGTCCTCCTGTAATTTGCTCGAGCGGGCACCAGTAATGTCTCACAACAAGTTGTGAGACTCGTTGTTACTGTGTTTGGCATATTGAATACGTCACGGGAAGCTTGCGAGGCTTTGCTGTGCGGGCAAGATACTCTCTGTAGCTTGCCATGCTCTCTGAGAGGGGCGGAGGAATCAAACCCGGGTTGGCCATGTTGGCCGTGTGCAAAGCAAATGCCTTACCCACTACTATCGCTCTAGCCCATGTATGTGTGTGTGTTTATATATATATTTATCCTTAGCATTTTTGCCCCTTATGTTTCATGTTGGGAGATCTGTAGTGTTGCCTGTTATTCTTACTTAGAGCAGTCTCTCCCACTCATATTATTCTAAACGAAATCAGAACATTAAGTTGAAAAACACAGCCATACATTCTGTACTGATTAGTCTTCACTTGGAGAAAAAAACCTCAACTTGGTTTAATTGGTTGATGCAAAAGAGTAGGGATGAGAGCTGGAGTGATAGTATAGTAGTGGGTAAGGCATTAGTTAGCCTTGTACTTGGCCAACCTGGGTTCAATCCTCAGCATCCCATATGGTCCCCCGAGCTCCACCAGGAGCAGTTCCTAAGTGCAGAGACTGGAGTAACCCCTGAGCATTGCCAGGTATGCCCCTCCTTCCTCCCTCCCCCAAAGTAGGCATGCATAATCAAGTCCATTAAAAAGTATTTTTGTTGATTTTATAGACTGAATAATTAACCAGCTACAAACTGTTCTCATTATATTAACATAATTACTTACAAAATGTTCCCTGGCAAGCTTAAAGTTTATAAAGGGAAAGGCTAATTTGATTTATGTAGGTTCTATAAGTTTTTCTATCCGTGGAAAGATTGATAGAACAAATTGATAATACTTATGTATCATGAATTTATTATATAGTTTCATTGTAATCAAAGTTAAATTTGCTTTTTAAAAGGGTTGGTATGGGGGCAGGAGCGATAGTGCAGCAGGTAGGACGTTTGCCTTGCACGCAACTGACCCAGGTTCAATCTCTGGCATCCCATATGGTCCCCCAAGCACCGCCAGGAATAATTCCTGAGTGCAGAGCCAGGAATAACCCCTGAGCATCGCTGGGTGTGACCCAAAAAGCCAAAAAAAAAAAAAAAGGGTTGGTATGTGGGCTTGAGAGATTGTACAGGGCTCTTGCCTTGCAGGTGGCAGGCCAGAGTTCAATCCTTGGCACTCTGTATGGTTCCCAGAGCACTGCCAGGAGTGAGCAGAGAGACAGGAGTAAGCCCTGAGCACTGCTGAGTGTGGTCAAATAAAAAAAAGATGTGGAAAGTTTTGTGTATTTGAGGATCTTATATAATAACTTTCCCTTCCCCCCTTTGTTAGTTTTCATATCTTGGCCCTGACCCTGTCCATAAACTCCTCACACTGGTGGTGGATGATGGCATTCAGCCTCCTGTGGAGCTCAGCTGTAAGGAGAGGAACATTCTAGCAGCCACTTTCATCCGCTCTCTCCATAAGAACATAGGTAAGTTTGGGGACAGAGGAAAGAAATCAAGGGGGAAAGAAAGGGAAGTAATGGGGAAACAGGGGTCAGGGCTTCAGTGATGTGGAGGGCGGGGAGCTTATACATCCAAAGCACAGATCCAGCAGGGAAAACGTGAGATCTAAGGTACAGCCACCGAACATTGTAAGGTGCCTGTCAGGGTGGCAGGAGGGGTGCCAGGGACTCTGTCAGGAAAGGTGGCCACCTGCTCTGAGGTCTGAGGGTAAGAGGGTGCAACGGATGTTGTTACCATGATGGATCTTGCTGCTCCTCAGGAGGCTCTGAGACCTTTCAGGACAAGGTGAACTTTTTCCAGAGAGAGCTTCGACGGGTACATATGAAAAGGCCACATTCCAAAGTCACTCTGAAGGTCAGCAGACACGCCTTGTTGGAATCGGTGAGTAAAGATGTATCTCCATTGACAGGTGCCTCCGTTTTCCAATTGCAAACCCTTTTAGTGTTTGAGCATGTGTGCGTGCGTGCGTGTGTGTGTAACTCAAATTTCTCTTCAGATTTTTTTTCTACTTTCCCTCTCTTCAAGTTCTAGTTTCTGTTTGATTCTACTAAGTTGAGGTCTGATTTGTTCAAGCTAAATCACTGACGGGGAAGTCTAGTTAACACCTTGGCTCTGGAATGTGTACTGAACTGGTGGAACAGCCTCACAGTTTCTCTATATAAGGGATATATAGGGCTGTAACTACTGCCATGGAAGAATGTTCTTGTTATGGAATCTCTGGCATTGAAGAGTTCTTGGATCAAAAGGAAGTGAGTTTTGTTGTCACTCTGGTCTAATGGAAAAGGAACACCTAAGGTGTGTCTGTCTGCACTGCACAGACACTGGCCTGGTTCTTACATTCCCCGAGACTGAGGAGGCTTGATTCCTGTCCAGAAAGCATTTGTGGTGTTTGGCTCACCTGGGTGCGACTGGAAACCCCTTTTCTCAGCCACATTCTCCATGTGGTGTGGCTCCCAGTCTGCACCTAGCCCAGTGGGTAACAATTTCTAGTAGAGAATCTGGAAACAGCTCTTGTTGGCAGCTAAGTTTGGGTCATTTTTACTGCTTTTTATGTAAGTTTTCTCATTCATAAAATTAGCACCAAAAAAAAAAAAGACCCTTGCCTTCTAGGTGGCCGACCCTGGTTTGATCCCTGGCACCTCACATGGCCTCCCCAGCACCACCAGGAGTGACCCCTGAGAACAGTCAGAGTAATCCCTGAGCACTTTTGAGTGGGGCCCAAAACAACAAAAAACAAAACTTAAATTTTTTAAAATTTTAGTTTATTTTTATAAAGTTGTTCACAATGATTTATTGCTTTCAATATTCCATCACCAATCCCACCATCATTATACCTTCCCACCACCTTTACTTCTAATTTTCCCATCCACCACCCAAGCCTGCCCTAATAGCAGTCTCTGAATAATTTATTTTATATTGGTTGTCATGAATAATTCATGAAAAATGATGAAAAAAGATTTCCTTAGAAGAAAGTATGTGAAGATCGTTGTATCTCACCCAGGAGCCATTAAGCCCTTCTATAAGAAGTTACTAACATGCTGTTAGAGGTTGAGCCTTGCGTGCTAATATTTTCTTAATCGAGATTGGTTGCCTTCTATTTTACATCCCATCCAATGTGGTGTGCTACTCCTGGTATATCAATGAAAACCTAAATTTCTTCTTGAGTTGTGCATTTTAAATATCAGGTGATGTGTGCGCTTTTGTTTTTATTTTTTTGTTTTTAGTCCACACCTGACAGTGCTCAGGGCTTACTCCTGACTCTTCAGGGATCACTCCTGGTGGGTTTGGGGGACCAGATCGGGTCCTGGGAATGAATCAGGGTCGGCTGCACGCAAGGCAAGTGCTTCACCCACTGTGCTATCTGTGCTATCGCTCCATCCCTTGTGCTTACTTATAAGCACCATATTTCCTCCAAGTGCTCGTTGGCTAGTTAAATGTACAGTGACAGTGTTCTTGTACTTTTGTTTTTAATACCCAAGAGATTCCAGCCAGTATTCTGACAGCTTCAACTGTTTTTCAGTCTTTGAAAGCCACTCGGAATTTCTCCATCTCAGATTGGAGCAAGAACTTTGAAGTGGTTTTCCAGGATGAGGAAGGTCAGTTTTGAAAGTTTGTATTCATCTTTTTTAACTCTCCCAGCGCCTCTTCTTCCTCTTCAGCCCCTCTCTACAAAAAAGTTAGAACAACAACAACAAAACCCTATGCTACCCCACTTTACCCACCCCAACACCACCCCAAAAAAAAAACCCCGTTCCTTTCCAAGGGAAAAAGAAGGCATGAGTTAAGATGAAAAGGGTGGTGGTCACTGGCCAGACGGCCCCGTGGAGCTGACAGCATAGACATGCAGGGCCTCAGAGAGAGCTCTGAGTGTGAAACAGAGGCAGAGTCACCTTTAGAACCCAGAGATATGTCCAGAGGCCCCTTGCAGGGCTCTGATCTGTATTTCCTGGAGGGTTTCTGTTTAGCCCAACAGAAAGGCATGGGGTATTTGGTTTTGCTTAGTTTTTTAAGTCTCTGATTTAGGTGGATTGGAATGGGGAAACACTGGATGTGGGCAGTGTAAAGTGATGGGAAGATGAGCAGATTGATAGATGGTGGGTAGTGAGGCCAGGGTCACTGTTTACTGTTACCATACTTTGCAGCACTCGACTGGGGAGGGCCTCGCCGGGAGTGGTTTGAGCTAATCTGCAAAGCACTATTTGATACCACCAATCAGCTCTTCACCCGGTTCAGTGACAACAACCAAGCATTAGTGAGTTCATGGCTTTCTCCCGGGTGGGAGGGAAATGTGGATTATTTTACCACCACTAGAGGAGCTCCAGATTATGAAACTGTCTTAGAAGTCTGATAACCTGTGCCCTAGTCTTGATTTTGATAATGGAATATGAACTTACTCAGTTTCCTTCTACCTCTTTGCCTTCATTATGTAGTCTATAAAAAAAGAGAAAATCAAGACATATAACTAAAGAGTCTTATAGGAGCTGGGGAGAAAGCTCAGAGGACTAGAGCATATCCTTTGCAGTGTGGGAGCTCTGGGTTAGTCCTGGACACCAAATGATCCCTGAGCACTACCAGGTGTGGCCCCCAAACCCAAAAATAAAGGGGGTGTGTTATAGTGCGTGGCTTTTATATAAACTGCTTTCTCAAAACTGAAGCAATTGAATCTTGTATTAAATATTGAGTGGGCATAGGAGGCAAGAGTAGAAAAGTAGACTTTGACTGAAAAAGTTCTGGTTTAGGGAAAAGGCATCACCTCATTCCCAGTTTAACATGCACGCTCAGCCAAGAATCACACACTTAACATAAGATTCTGCAGCTGAAACTGAGTGCATGTTTGCTCTTTATCTTCATGTCACTTTGTATTACTCAGTGACTGTGGAAGGCTAGTCTGCTTGGAGGGCTTCTGCTCCTAGCACTGGGCTATTTGGTGAGGAATGGAGGATCTGGAAGATAAATGGTTCCAAGCCTTATAATGCCTTTCTTTGACAGGTGCACCCCAACCCCAGTCGCCCCGCCCACCTGCGCTTGAAGATGTATGAGTTTGCAGGGCGACTGGTGGGCAAGTGTCTTTATGAATCCTCCCTAGGAGGAGTCTATAAGCAGTTGGTTCGAGCTCGATTCACCCGCTCTTTCTTGGCCCAGATCATAGGATTGCGTATGCATTACAAGGTAATGTCCTACCCATGTGCTTTTCACTAAGGCCCGGGGCCTGTAACTCTGGGATCTCTCTATTCTGAGCTTACTATTAGGAAAGTTGGATGATAAAATGGTTTTAAGCTGGTACAAATTTGTGTCCTGGGCAAGAAGTACTGTTCCATCCTTACCTTTTCTGTCTTCTCAGTACTTTGAAACAGATGACCCAGAATTCTACAAATCTAAAGTTTGTTTCATCCTCAACAATGACATGAGTGAGATGGAGCTGGTCTTTGCAGAAGAGAAATACAACAGATCAGGTCAACTGGACAAGGTGAGAAAGCGGACCAGAGCCTGTGTCTCCCATTGCTCAGCTTCCTCAGCACAGTGCTGGATGCTAGAACTTTCCACAGCAATGGAGATGTTCTCTATTGAGAACAAACAGTGTTGTCTTTGGTCAGCTGGAGTGACCAAGTAACTGAATTTTCCCCTTTATTTTGTTTCACAGACTTGTAAATAAGCCTCTGAGCCTGGTGGCAACCATATTATATAGTACAACCTAGGGCACTGATTCCCGCCCTTGTGATTCAACCTGCCCCACCCAGAGGAAAGAAACTTACTGGGCCAGAGAGTACAGGGAGTAGGGCATACACGGCTAACTCGGTTCCCATCCCCAGCACCCTTTATGGTCCCCTAAACCCTGCCAGGAGTGATTCCTGAGTGCAGAGCCAGGAGTAACCTCTGGTGCTACTGTGTGTGGCCCCAAAACAAAAAACAATAAAAGGAAAAGGAATTTCTGAGGGTTAAAAGAAGTCAGTCGTGGTTGTATCTTGGATCATGGAGACATTAGAATGTTACTAACGTAGTTCACAGTACTGCTCTGTTTGACTAAGTCTGAAAAGAATCGCTTGGATAACCGGAAATCATGACCAGTAGAACAAAGCAACAGTTGGAACCCCGAAGCTTAGTGACTGAAAAATAAAAGTGCGCTGAGAAGCTGAATGGGCAGGAGAAACTTGTGCGCGGCAGAATTCAATAATGCTGGACGGATAAAATTCCATTCACAGCTTCTGTCTTTTTTTCCGTCTTACTTCAGCTGGTAGAACTCATGACAGGTGGAGCGCAAACTCCAGTAACCAATGCAAACAAAATCTTCTATTTAAATTTGCTGGCCCAATACCGGCTGGCCAGTCAAGTGAAAGAGGAGGTGGAACATTTCCTGAAAGGTGAGATCCTGTCTGTGCTGGGGTCGAAGCTGTTTCTAGTCTTCATGATTTGGGTCTGACTGTTGTTGTTGTTGTTGTTGTTGTTATTTTTATTTTATTTTTAAATTTAAATTTTTTTAAAATTTTTAAAATAGTGTAGGAATACAGCTATTTGTTTAGGTCTCACCTTTTTAATGTGGCTGTTTTCTTCAGGCCTGAATGAGTTGGTTCCTGAGAATCTTTTGGCTATTTTTGATGAAAATGAACTTGAGGTAAGTTCTTCCAGCTGACAGCCCCTGTTACTATGAGTGGCAGGGGGGCTAGTTCACTGCCCCCTCTGCTCAGGGACAGAAAAGCCTCTTCAGCAAGAGTTGGTGTCTATCTGGGATTCTCCTAAGCATCAACTCTTTCTGCAGCTTTTAAAAAGCTCGAATGTGGGGGCTGGAGCAATAGCACAGTGGGTAGGGCATTTGCCTTGCACGCGGCTGACCCGGGTTCGATTCCCAGCATCTCATATGGTCCCCCGAGCACTGCCAGGAGTGATTCCTGAGTGCAAAGCCAGGAGTAACCCCTGAGTATCCCTGGGTGTGACCCAAAAAGCAAAAAACAAAAGCTCGATTGTGAAGTTAGAAGCCCAGTAAATAACCATTTATGAAGAGTAATCCTGTTGATCTGTTCATGAGTATTATTGACACTGGTCAAGTTAGACAGAACGTCGGTTTGCGGCCAGGGCTGGAGTGCGTGCCTTACGTAGGCTCGGCCCCAAGTTGAATTCTCAGAGGCATATGATCCCCTGGGCACCACACTGTCAGTGCCAGGCTGAGTATTGCCCGGGTTCCTGAGTACTGCTGGGGAGATTCCCTTGCCCACTCCCACCAGAAAAGAAAAAAACAGAATGATGATATCAAGTTTAGTCTTCGTAAATTCTGTGACATTTTATGTCAGTGTAAGGAAAAAATAGAATTTATTTGTTCAGGGACTACTTATTAAGGGCCTCCAGTATGTCGTGTACGTGTGAGGCATTGGAGAGATGGCGGTGAGCAACACAGTTTTGCCCTCCTGGAGCAATATTCCAGCGAAGGGGACAAAAACCAAAAGATATGACAAATTTCAGAGTTTTAAGACACGTTACCTAGGTAGATATTCTTATTTCAGTTTTTATAAGAACCGTCAGATGGCTTTCAAATGGCAGTTCCCTTCTGTGTGGGTAAAAGTCAGGTCAGTTTTTACCTGCTGCTCACCGAAGTTTCATACCACTCAGCTGAGCTGTCCGTTGCTTTACGGGGAGCGTGTTTCTGCGGTGATTTCATCTAGAGTGGAAGTTCTGTGTTGAGTCCCTGCATGGCCCACAGTCACTCCACTGTGTGGGATTCCTGGTGCCACAGGAAGGCGCCTTGTCCCCAGTGCCCTGCCAATAGGTATGCCGGTGCCACCCCCAAGTGTGCCATCTCTGGTGAGCACGACAGCCAAACTGTGTGTGTGTGTATGTGTGTGTGTGTGTGTGTGTGCGTGCGTGCGCGTGCGCCCATGTGTTACCCCTGTCTTAGTGCTCAGCGATTGCTCCCCACAGTGCTCAAGGGACCATGCAGTGCCAGGGATGGAACCTGCTCCTCCTGGTGGGCAAAGCGCTCACTGCAGCCCTTTGAACCGTCTCCTCCTTTAGGAACGCACAGGCTTCTATGCCTTTCCTGGAGATCCTGACTCAGGTGGGCTTTCCTAAGGCCATGGACGCCCCTTTTTCCCACACTGGGTAGGATCCAGCCCCTGTTAGCACACACTCTCCTATAGCAGCAGCCTGGCATCAAGGCTCCGCCCTCAGTCTTTCTCCCAGTGTGCACATTTTACATACCAACATGAGTAGTTCAGGGGCTTTGTTGTTTGGTTTTGGGGCCACACCCAGCGGTGCTCAGGAATTCCTCCTGGCTCTGCATCCAGGGATCACTCCTGGCGGTGCTCGGGGAACCATATGGGATGGCGGGGATCACAAATTGGTTGGCCACATGCGAGCACTTTCCCTACCTGCTATACTATTGCTCCGGTCCCAACCTGGATCGTCCTGACCGCATGTTGGGTCTCTGTCCCAGTGGCTCTCCTCATAACACCCGACTGTCTCTCCAGCTGCTCATGTGTGGGACCGGGGACATCAGTGTGTCTGACTTCAAAGCCCATGCAGTGGTCGTTGGCGGCTCGTGGCATTTCAGAGAGAAGGTAAGGAGCCAGACCTCTGGGTCGCTCCGTCCTGTCGCAAGGGAGACGTTTCCGAGGAAAAGGGAGGAGTTGGAAAATGGATCTCTATGGACAAGGTCTATGTGGTTGTGTGGGCGAAGGGCACCCACGTCCCAGAGGGCCGCCATGCACACTGCCACAGGGGCTGTTGTGACAGCGTCAGTCCCCAAGGAGCGGGCCAGCTCTCCCCATTCCTGCCCGTGTCCTCTGAGGACAGGAGCGGGCATACCCCCCCGCCCCCCACATCGGGGTTCTTGCCCTCTCTCAGCCGCACGAGGGCTGTGGCCCCACCCCCCTCTGCTCTCCCTGCCAGGTCATGAGGTGGTTTTGGACCGTGGTTTCCAGTTTGACCCAGGAGGAGCTGGCTCGGCTGCTCCAGTTCACGACGGGCTCCTCCCAGCTGCCCCCCGGAGGCTTTGCCGCACTCTGCCCCTCGTTCCAGATCATCGCCGCGCCCACCCACAGCACACTGCCCACTGCACACACGTGGTATGTGTTGGCACACGTGGTATAGTCTCCCGGGGGCCCGTGTCGTCCCAGCCCTCGTGGCGCGGGCTAATCCCCTCCCTTTGTCCCCGCAGTTTTAACCAGCTGTGCCTCCCGACGTATGACTCGTACGAAGAGGTGCACCGGATGCTGCAGCTGGCCATCAGTGAGGGCTGCGAAGGCTTCGGCATGCTCTGACCATTCTCTGACCCTTCGGGGCACCTGGCGCATGTCACCAATGTCATCACCGTGGACCCCGCGCCACGGAACCGCCCGCCGGAAGCTGCTGCATGCTTCCCTGTGTCTGGAGAGCCGGTCCCCTGCACGCTCTGTGCTTCCTCCCCTCTCCCTCCCTGTCCTCATTAGCCCGTAGGCTGCCTGCTGTGGGGACAGGAAGGGGGCCGTGGTTCTCAGAGGAGCTCAGTAGAGCGCTGCTGCAGCGGCCAAAGGAAGCTCCGCGGTGGACGCGGCGTCCTCGCCTTGCTCCGCTCCCCAGAAGCCCCCTCGGGGGAGCTCGCCGCTTCACCCGAGGTACGCACGCCCTCCCCGCGGGCAGGGTCACCGCCTCCTCTCATCTGGAGCCTCCACTTTGTCCCTCTGCACAGGCCGTGGCACTGGACCTCCCCGTAATGGGAACTGAGGGCAACGCAGAAGCCAGTGCTTGTCCAGGGTGTGGGGTCGGCACTGAAAGAGGAACTTTGTCTGCAGGTGGCTCTGCAAGCGACTGTAACCCCTAAAATTAACAGGAAACTTCCGGAGTCGGAGCCGGGAGCAAAGCAGCCAGGAGGCTGCGAATGAATGTGACAGGGCCCTAGTCCCTAGTACTGAACGGAATTCTCCCTGGAATCTGACGCTGATGCGCATCCCTGCACTCCTGTTACACCGAGGCGGAGCTGGGCGTGACTACTTCCCTCCGGGATCTGTGGTCCGTGAAGAGCTGGGCACTGTGCGTGTGTCTGCTGAAGAGATCTGGTGGCAAGGGACGGGGACAGTAGGAAGAGCCGGCCGCTGCTCCCTGGTTCTGCTCTGCCAGGTCCTTGGGGTCGAGGCCAGCAGATGTCCGCTTGCCCTGTTCTATCCCCTTCACGCCATCAGTCGCCGGCATTCACTTCGTGGTGGTTAGAGAGAACCTGCAGCTTTCTCCCAGAGCACCCCAGCATCACTACTCACCCCCGTGTGATCGCCAGCATTGTCAGGAGTCCGAATCTCATGCGCTTCCAAATCTGTCCGAAGGCTCTCCTGCAGCCATGCCCAGCGGTCCATTCAACCCCGAGAATATTACAAGCCATCTTTATTGCCAAAACCAGCAAGTCCAGAGACGTGGGGCGGGACTTGCGGTGATGCCTTGATCTCCTCGAAGCTTGTCTGAGCCTCCCTGTTCCAGGGACCCGAGGAACAGGCCCTCCTGAGCTGCTCTAGTTCCTGTCTGACCTCCGACCGCGCACTTGTCATTTGTCCCTCCCGGTGTGTGTGCTGACCTCACTAGCAGTGGGGGCCCAGGGCCCGGCATCCTTGCCACACGGCCACTGTTCTCCTCAGGAACCAGGACAAGGCGCTGCTGCTTGCCCCCAGGCGGGGCAGGGGGCCAGGCCAGCATCCTCGCCCTGGGCAATGCCCCTCGGGCGCAGAGGGGGCACCGGGACTGGTTCTGCTGTCTTTGGCAGTTGTTTGTCTTTGGGTTCTGCATGTCCCCTCGGAAGCCTCCGGAGTCCCTGCTGGAGACTCTGTGTTGACTCTCGGCTGGCTCTGTTTCCAGCTCTCGCTGTCGCACTGTTCGCAGCGTCCTGGGGGACCCTGCGGCGTCTTGCAGTGGCCTGCAGCCCCAGAGTCTCTGCTTCACAAAACCTTTTGGTACTGTGGTCCTTTTCTATTCCCGTTTCTTTTCTCCTAGCTCTTTCCCCAGAGTATCTTTGCTTCTCTTTTTCTTTTTCTGTCCTTTTTCTCCTCCTCCCTCCTCAACCTGCTTCGGCACTAGCCATTGAGGGGGAAAGGTACAAGATGTCAGTGAGAGAGAAAAGTGTCTATTTTGTTTGGGGCAAGTCTTGATTGACAGTTCTTGACTCGGGGCTGTTATTTCTGTCCCTCTGACCCAGGGAGTTGGAGGGCCAGTCAGCTCTTGCAGAACAGGCACCCGGTACACAGGAACCCGTCGACCTGTGTCTAGAACTTCTGCAGAGGCTGCAGCAAGAATGTAAATATTTTGTACAGTTAATAAATGAACTTTAGAAGGATGATGGAGTGTGGTGATTTGGTCTCAAGTTGGAGGTGGGAGAGGGAAAGAAAATGTAGGCACGTTGTTGTCTTGTCCCAGTAATTGATTCAGAAACAAGCCATCTCGGGGTAGTGAGTGTTCATGCAGCCTTCATCACTGATTTTTTCCCCCTTCCCTTTCAGGCAGAGAGCCACGGTGCTTAGCACCTGAGGATGTGGGATTGACCAGAGCAAAGCAGGGCTGTTCTCATTAGTCTTCAAACATTTAACTTTTGTTTTACTCCACAAGAAAACCTGTGTAGAGGGGCTGGAAAGCTAGTATGACAAATAGGGCTCTTGCCATGCCTGTAGCTGAATTGTTCCATCCCTGGTGCCGCATATGGTTCCCAAAACACTGCCAGGACTGACCCCGAGCATATAGCTGGGAGTAAGTCCTGAGCACAGTAGGTGTGGTCCAAATACAGCCCTTACCCCACATACACTCCCATCAAAGTACAAGGGAAGGAAGTCACTGGAAGTCACTGGCTCTTCAGAGGGAACTTAACTTCTGTTCGTGCATGGAAGGAAAGCCCTCTGGTTTGCATGCAGCCTTTTTTTGCTTAGACTTGCATATTATATTTGTTTTGAGGAGCCCTGAATGGGGCCTTTCCTGGCCCAGTGCTTAGGAATCACTGCTGCGTGCTTGGGGGTCCAACTGGAATCCCAAATATGTGTGCCTTAGCCCGTTAACCTCTCTCCCCGACCCTTAAAACGTCATCTTTAAGGGCTGACTAGAAGTCAATCCTGGACTGCTTAAGGTCCGTTTGTGTTGACCAAGACACATCCCGATGACAAGAATCTCCATGCAGCCTCCATTTTGGACTCCAGAACCCAGAATCAACCTTCCCTATAGCCCAGCCATAGTCTGGGGTTCAGTCTTCCTGCAGAGGTTCTCTTGGGGACTTGGGGGTGTGATGTGTAGAAGGCGTCCTTAAAGGATAGAGTCTGGAACTGCTGCGCTTGAATGTTCTTTTTTTTTTTTGCTTTTTGGGTCACACCCGGCAATGCATGGGAGTTACTCCTGGTTCATGCACTCAGGAATTACTCCTGGTGGTGCTTGGGGGACCAGATGGGACGCGGGGAATCGAACCTAGGTCGGCTGCGTGCAAGGCAAATGCCCTACCCATTGTACTACTGCTCCAGCCCCTGAATGTTCTATTTTATTTTCAGAGGCGCTACCCCAAGCAGAGCTGATGGTTTGGTGCTCAGGCCTGACAGTATACAATATCATTTTCATGACCTGCAAACTCAGTTATTATTGGAATAAGAAAGTTGACTCAGAGCCTGGAGTTTTGGGCCAAGTTTTCCAATAATCACATTGACTGTGAGTAGGGACCCAGTCATTCCAAGTGAGGGGGCTCTGTGGAACTAGGGGATGGAAGGCTCATGTAAGAGGTAAGAGCCGGGGGGCTGGCACAAAGTTCCAGAATGGCTCTTTGCCTACCTGGCATATGCAGGCAAACCCGGAATATCACCTCAGACACCTAGTTCAGACACGGAAAGAGAAGACCCTAAGTCGAAGTGGCCGCCACACACTTCTCACGGTCCTCCAAAGGCTGAGGAGATTGCACTTAAAACATGTCAGGGTAGGTGATCTAGTGATGGGCAATGCTCACAAGGGAGTTCCCTTGACTCACCTAATTGCTGCCATCATGATGGTATCGTTCATTTTCTATTTTTTCTTTTTTTTGCATTTTGGGTCACACCCGGCAATACACAGGGGTTACTCCTGGCTCTGCACTCAGGAATTACTCCTGGCGGTGCTCGGGGGACCATATGGATGCTGAGAATCGAACCCGGGTTGGCTGCGTGCAAGGAAAATGCCCTACCTGTCGTGCTATCACTCCAGCCCCAAGGTACCGTTCATTTTTGAGCTTTTCCGTTACATCAGGAATTTTCATATCCTATGGTCTTATATGAACAATGAGGGGCTGGAGCAATAGTGCAGCAGGTAGGGTATTGGTATTTGCCTTGCACTCTGCCGACTTGGGTTCGATTCCCAGCATCCCATAGCACTGCTCCTGAGCACCACCCCTGAGCACCGCCAGGGTTAACTCCTGAGTGCAAAGCCAGGAGTAACCCTTGTGCATTGCCAGGTATGACCCCCCCCCACCAAAAAAAATGATCCTCCAGAATAGCCTTACTTTCTCAACAAGACAGTTGGTCTCATTTTCTCCATTCACAGACATAGTTGAGGCTCAGGGAGGATGTGTAAGCACCAAGGCTCCTTAGCTTGGCAGAGCTGTATTTGAACACAGGTCTGTTTCATGTCAGAGCCCAAACTCTTTCCACTTTGCTAATTTGTCTCAGGCAAATTAGTTTAGACTAAGAAATCTCCTGGGCCCTGGGCCCCTGGTGCTCACTGATTTGCCTCATGTTTTCTTGATGACACTGTCTTGACAGATGGACACTTTTGACCCCCATTTACCTGTCAGTCACTCAAGGATTTGGAAATTATGAGAAGGCCCCACTCGAAGAGAATAGCTATTAGCAGTAAGTTTCTAAAAACCTTTTGCATGTAGAATGTCGCAGAGAGTACCAACTCATGACAGATGGAGCTGACTTCCAAGTTTAAATGAATCATGCATAAATAATACAAGACACCCCTGAGGATATAATTGCTGGGGGCTGAGGGGAACCCTGACACGCTAATATCCTAATATCCCCACTTGGGTGGAAAATCCACAGGTCACATGCAAATGAAATGAAGTCAGACACGCTATACAATACCCTGATGTTTATCTCTCTGGCAACTAAATTGTCTGAAAAAAAAGAAAAGGCTCATTTAAATAAACCTTTGTCTCTAAGGTCTCTTCGCATGAAACACTGCTGCATTTTGCAAAGGTGAGATTCCTGATGCCTAGCTCAAGTGGACAAGCAAACACCTAGAATGCCCAGGTAGATGCGCACCTCAAATACAGCGATTCTGCTGGAACTATGATCCCAGTGACACCGCCCCCTCCTCCCAGGGCAGACACTCCTCTGCAGCCCTCATTTCACCTGCTGTCCAGATGTGCACACGCGGGAATCTCTGTGTCTTCCCGTCCTCTACAGACCAGCCTTGTTCCCTCTTCTCAGAACTCCCACTCGGCTGAGCTGCCAAGACATTCCTCTGCTTGCCCGCTCTTAGCGGAGTCGGAGATAGCAGAGGGATTTGTGAGCCAGCTGGGGAGAGTGATGGCTTTCATGCCGAAATGAAATGTTGCATTCTTGGGTAAGAGCGAGACTGTGTATCATCGTTTTTGTGCTAGTTCTTATGTCTTTTGTCTAATCCTACTCCAACTTGTCATTTCATTTCCTACAAATGTACCTCCCCGCCCCTACCACCCACAGAACGCCTGACATCCCTGGTCCATCCATCCCTGAGCTCATGGCCCTTTTCCCTTTAGTTCTTTGCATTTCAACAAGCCTTTGTGGGTGTCAGGCAGTGTTTGGGGGATCTAGGAATACAGATAAAATGTGAATTCTTCCTCAGAACAGCCCACAAGCATCTTGTGGAGGGAGACAGTCAACTCATTGCCCTTAGTTTTCTTTTCCCTAAGGCTGGAGCACCCAAGTCCTTCATCAACTCTCCTCATACTTTCATTTCTATTTAATTGGGGTGGGGAGGGACACATTGCTATTTGGATCATTTTCACATAGAGTCATAGCTGCAAGTGAAATTTCTCTAGCTCCTGCTACATTCTCCAAGGGATTTTCCCTGTTGATCTCAGAGAAGAACCTTAAAGAGATGGATTCCAAAGTAGGAGGCCTGAGGAGGAAGCCCTCCATTCGACACAATTCGAGTGATCTCGAGCAGGTTCCAGGAAAGGCTGGACCTGGGAATTCCATGATCATGGGATCTCCTTACTCTCCCGCCTGCCCTCTCTCCCAGGCAGTGTAGATCTCACAAGGTTGACCTTGGCTGTGGGGGAACTGGTTGGTAAGTGGCCTACAGTTAATATCTGGCCCAGAAGGAGGTATTTCCAACAACACCCAAAACGGTTTGCGTTCTGGTCAGAAGTGGACAGTGATGGGAATGGAGTACAGTGCCACACCCAGCAAGTCAGACGAAGGAGGAGACGAGGCCTGCATCAGCACGATGCCATGACAGGTGATTTGTGGAGGCTCTGGGTGAATTTCTCTGGATGTCTGTCAAACAGGAAACGGGGGTCCCTGCTCACAGCACAGTGCTGCAGCTGAGGTCTGCCCCTCTCTAGAGCTTGGGCAGATATTAAAGTTACACATGCGTGGGGGCTGGAGCAATAGCACAGTGGGTAGTGCATTTGCCTCGCACGCAGCAAACCCAGATTCAATTCCCAGCATCCCATATGGTCCCCCGAGCACCGCCAGGAGAGATTCCTGAGTGCATGAACCAGGAGTAACTCCTGTGCATCGCTGGGTGTGACCCAAAAAAGCAAAAAAAAAAAAAGTTACACATGTGCACATGTGTATGCGCGCACGCGCGCGCACACACACACACACACACTTCTGAGCTGGGTGGCAGCCAGGGATGGACCTCAGACCAGGCTCTGATCTTTAGGAAAAGCTTCGAGCTCCTTTTCCTAGAGGGAGTTATCTGAAGCTGTGTTTACAGTACCAGTCTCAGTCTTGAGTCAAAGCCAAAGCACAAACTTGGGTGTTCTGTGGCTGTGACACTTGCTCTCAAGGCGGGAGTGATAGCCATGCTGGGGAAGAGTGCTGAGCTGCCAGCGGAAGGGCTGGGCCCACAGCCCTGTGTCTGCCTGCTCCCCGGGGCTGGACCGAATCGTCCCGCACACCTTGAACATTCTGTTGTGTTTGTATCCTGTGTTCTCCAGACAGCCGCTCCTGCCCCAGAACAGCACAAAACCCTTTTGTCAGACCTGATCTTGAGTTCTGGCTCCAAAATGTCACTGTGGATTAAGTATGGAAGGGAGGGAACCATCAAAGCAAAACGCCCGGCTGTGAGGGGTCAAGACAGGCTTCAGGGCTTGGTGCGGTGGGAGAAAGGGGCTGAGAT